TTTCTAGTTGCATCCATTTTGTTGCAAAAGACAGAATTTGATTTCAGAAATAGCTGCATAGTATTCCATAGTGTATACCTATAATGATTTCTTTATCCAGTCAACAGTTAATGGACATTTGATTTTTTTAATGAATCATAAATTTTATTTCAAAATGGAAACATCACTAAACATGCATACACATTAAAACAATAAAATTTACAATTTCGTTAATTTTTTTTCCTTTTTGCATAGGACATCATTACAATATAGAATCTATGCCATACAAAATACATACAAAGTTTTATCCGAGCAAGCCAAGGCCAGATTGGGAACTGTATACTGTAATACTTCACTGTAGTGATCCAGGAAAGACCTTCGGAAGTGTGGTGGGTGCTGGGGGGGGGGGGGAGAAGTTCCTGCAGGAAAGGAAATGTGAGCTCGATGGAAATGGTCTTGGACCCTTGCGTTCTGCCTTGGGATGCTGGCAAACAATTCCAGAGAAGCTCCACCATGGTTTGGGATGAGAAGGGGTCGCCAGTGAGACCTGGGGATCAATGTATCCAATATACCCACACACGCAATTCCAGGTCCCCAAGGAGCCACACAGCAAGCCCCAAACCTGACAATGCATAGTCTCCCAGTGAGGAGCCTCGTGTGATGCTGGGGTCCCCAGTACTCAGCACCAGGCTGGCTTTTCTAGGGTGAGGGTAGGGAGCAAGTCACTCACTCACCCAGAGGCAGGCACTCTGATACAAGCATGCACGCTAGGACCAATGTCCCACTGGGACGTGGCCCTCACTCCTCTCAGGCAGCCTGGGGAGGGATCTGCCGAGTACAGTCAGCTCTGCAGAGGATGGACGTGGCGGCCTCGAAGGCGTTTGGCTCACACCCTTGGCTTCAAATGAGCCTGCAAGCAGCCATCAACGGTCACCAGGCAGACGAAACCTCCAGCCCCCACGCCCCACTTCCTGTGCCCACCCCCCCCGGAATGTGTGACATGGGTGGCAGGGGAGCAGGGGACACAACTTCTCTCTCATCCTGTTTATTCTTAAATAAAACCAAGTCTTAAAGCTAAAGAAGGGAGAGCTGAGCAGGGCCAGGCCTGGATCTCGACAGGGGTCAGCAGAAACTGAGTGTGGCCCCTCTTCCTTCGGGACATGGGGGTCCCCACTTCCTGCCAAACTCACTTTTCTGACTGACGGGGAGTGACAATGGGCAGCAGGAAGGCCAGCATGTCAGTATACGCTGGACTGTGCTTCTAGATTCTGGGGCAGACTTCTCTGGCATATGTCTAGGGCAAACACTCAAAGCCTCAGAATCAGGAGAATCAGGCACAGGCCCCAGCTCTTCTCCCGGGGGGGCCGACCTGATTTCACATCTCGATTTTAGCTTTGGAAAAAATGGTCACCAAAATTCACACAGGAAAACTTCGGATGGCAAAAGCCATGCATGACCTGCAAAGCCTTTCTCCCTGGCTGTGAAGTGACCAACACATGAAACCCCTTCGAGCCTTCCAGCACTGTGTCTTTGATGAATGACCTTTTCCAAATGGGTTTCAAAAAAAAAAATTTTTTTTTTAAATAAATACTGTCAGAAGTCAAAATGGTCAGGTAGCCTTGTAAACACAGCCACGCCTGTGGGAGCCTTCCGCTGGCTGGCACACACGCTGCCTGCCGAGATCCTGGAGCCTACAACCCTCTGGCAAGAAAGAGGCCAGGGCTCCTGAACCCACTGGGCTGGGCCGGGGGCCACCCATCTGGGACGGCTCTGCCTGTACCCATCTCTGAATCACCCTTCCCTGGTCTGAGCGAGGTCCTGGGTCGCCAGCGTGTGGATGTTTGCACCAAGAAGCTGCACCATGGCGAATCCTGCACCTGCCCAGATGCATAGCCTCAGAATAATGTCAGGAATTAGGGGGCGGGGCGGGGGCTCTTGTACCTCCAGTGCCATGGGGAGGGAGCTGCAGCAGGATGCAGTAGGGCACCTCCAGGCCTGCATTCCATCCCAGCATAGCACCGGGCAGCAGAGGACTCCAGGGCCCTGGGGGAAGGGCTGTGTCCAGCTGCATTTTTCGGTATGGCTGTAGGATTCAGTAGGCATCTGGGGGCTGACAGCCATCCCCCTGATATGGCTGATGCAAAAACGTTTTTTTCGCTTTGAGACATGAGCTGAACCCTGGCCCCAGTGGCTGGGTCCAGAGTCACTTTTAGGCCTATTCATAGGGGTTCTCTCTTCGCTTCCAGACCTCTGCTCCTGTGGCCTCTAGAACTGAAGTCTGCCCCCAAAATAAAGGTTTGCATTTGCATTATTATTTAGAAGAACCCTATGGCTTCCTTAATCCCATCAAAACTGGCAAGCATGGCCATAAACCACAGAAACCAAAGACCCTGCGATGGACCCAGGCTGGGAAGACATTCCACATCCCAGAAGGGATGAGACAGGAACTTGCTGAGCTGAGCCTGAGACTCATGGGTCCCCCCCACCCCCCGGTCAAGTGAGATGAATTTGCGCCCCAGATGATGTAGGAGGGTCCCAATGGGGGGGTTGGTGAGAACACCCTGGTGGCGGTGCCCTGCCCCCCCCCATTTCCCAGGCTGAGCCCAAGGCTGCAGGACCACACCCTGCCACTAACCAGAACCACTTTGGGAGTGAAGAGGTTCATTTGCCAAAAATAGCCAGCGCCTGCATATTTCTGTTTTAAGGCAATGTTACCCTTCCATCTATCAGACGGAACAGCCCTGGGTCATTCAGAGGAAAAATTAAATTAAGTGCTCTCTTTGGAAACAGCCAATGCCCACTCTCCCTCCCCCACCCCCACCCTGCTCTAAAACAAACCAGCTTTTTTTTTTTATTCCAAGATGACTGGGTTTGGAGTCCTTTTTCTCCCTTCCCATGTGCAGACAGATGTGGAGTTCGAAAACTGCCCACAGTGATGTGGCGACCTCCTCCCCTCGGCCCCAGGGCGCTCTGCCTGCCCACCTCCCAGGGACACACTGCCTCTCTCCCTGCCTTCAGAACCGTGGACGGTGAGGGCACCAAAGGACTTTGGAATAAAATTCCTGAACCTGGAATGTGAATTCCTGAGATGTGAAATGTAGAGTGTGGCTCTCTCTACCTCATGCAGAAACAGCTTTGGGAGGGACCTCACTTTGGAACTGGGTACAAAGATCTCTGCACCCCAAGTACCCAGGGCTCTCTTCGGTCAAGACCCCCCCACATGTTCCACCCTGTCCCCCAGACCCGTGCAACAAGCACGGCGGTGGGGGTAGGGCAGCTCTGCATCTGGCCAGGGCAGGGTTAATGCATCACCACCCCCAGCCCCCACCCACAGCAGGAACAACACTACCCATCAGCTCAGTACCCATAATAATGCTACTGATAAGCTGCTTCCACAACACTAGCCAAATCTAGCTGATGCACAGTGGAGTTAGTGCTGGGTGCCCAGAGTGTCACAGATGGCACACTGGGCTGTCCCCATGCAGTGGCTGTGCACACAGGGTGCCCATCTACTCTGAAGTCACCCCAAAACAGAAAACAGCAGCCAGGGGCCTTTGGGGTCTCTCTGTGCTGCACCCCATGTCATGGGAGGGCCGGAGTGGAAGCAGTATGGCCACAACTAAGGCACTCTGGGCCCGGGAAGCCCACCTATGGCCCTCTGAGACCCCAAGGGCAGCTCCTCATCAAAACAAGGAGAGGTCTCTGCAAGATACCCCAAGCCACCCCCACTGCTTCCCTACGTGTGCACACACACGCGGGCACACACACATACATACATACACACTGTCCTGGGGCCCTGTGATTACAGGCCTGGCTTTCCAGGAGAAGGGAAGGAAGACCCTGGGCCACAGGGATGGGGAGTGGTCATTCGAGGGCCCGGCGAAGGAACTCACTGGGACACGGCCAGACTGTCCCAGCCCCGGCCTCAAACCTCAACCCAGTGCAAGTCACAGCTCTGTGGTCCTCGTCTCCTCCCAGGAGCAGGCTGGCGACAGGGCACTGCAGGCTGCTATGGCCTGGGCCCCGCAGGAGGGGGCCAGGAGAAGCTGGAGACTTGATGAGTCTGCGCTGGGGACACAGAGGGTCTGAGAGCGTTTCCCACAGTCCTCGGCGCTCCCGGGGTGGCGGGAAGCAACAGCATGTTCTCCAGCAGCGCTTCCCACAATGTCGGCCACACTCCTGCCAACTTCCAAGTCCCAGTGCTCTGATCTGTCAGTACAGGACGGACTCCACAGAGTCCCCACACTGCCCACCACCACACAGACCCTCTGACAAGCTGGCCTGCCGGCCTCGCCCACAGAAGTGCCTGGGGGGCAGCCGCGGGGGCTGGATGGACCCACTGCACTTCCTGACACCTGTGCAGACGACCATGGTCCCCAGCCTCTGTTTGCCACACAACACAGGGTCCCCACGCGCCTTCTGCGGGGACACAGAGGTCGGGGTCCTGGGCAGGCGGGGCCCAGCCGCTGTCTCCTGCCAGGTCAGATGGTGCAATGCTGTGCCCACTCAGGCTCTGATTCTGGTTCTCCCAGGTGCCCCAGGCAAGGGCTCCTGGAGGTGGGGCCGGTGGGCGAGGCTCCCTCCATGGCTCCTCCTGGTGGAGTGCTCCTCTGGCCTGTCCTGGCTTAAGGCATCCCTCTGAGGCGGTGCATCCCTCACCGACCACGCCTGAGGGGTGAGGCAGAGCAGGAGCAGGGGCCTGGTCGCTTGGGAATCTGTGGGAGAAATACAAACGTCCATGAGGGCATGTGCCCGGGGTCCTGGCGGACTCCGCCTGCACTGGTCAGCCCGCGCTGTCCCCAGCGTGTTCCCGAACCTAACAGAAAACTCCAGAGTGCAAATCTATGTACAGAGTAAGGCGCCAGGAAGGGGTGTCCTCACTGACCTCACAGAACGCGTCCATCCCTGAGAAAGGGGGTTCAACACCACTGAATCTCAACTTCATGGGTACGTCTGTTGTGCAATTTGTGAATGGTATTTTTGGAAATTTTTCGTTGTGGCTTTTTTTTTTTCTTAAAAAAAAAAAAAACAAACTGACTTTGACACCTGAGGTGAAGAAAAGTGTTTTCCCGTGGACTTTTCCTAAGTTCGCGGCTTCGTTCTCATTACAAAAGGACAGGACGGGGCCGGCGTGCTCACGGCGAGCTGGCCGGGCTGATGGTGGGGCTGCTGGCGTCCGAGCGGCTGTAGTCGCTCAGCGAGCCGGTCCGCGAGCCCCCGCCGCGCCGCTGCAGCATGCCCGGGTGGAAGTTGGCGTGGCGTCGCGGGTGCTTCCTCAGGTGGTCGCTGCGCATGAAGCGCTTCTCGCAGATGGGGCAGCTGAACTTCTCGCCGGTGTGCGTGCGATAGTGCCGCGCCAGCTCGTCCGAGCGGGCAAACTTCTTGTTGCAGTCCTGCCAGGTGCAGGCGAAGGGCCGCTCACCTGTGTGAGTTCTCAGGTGCGCCTTGAGGTGCGAGGATTTCCCGTAAACTTTCTCCCAGCCCGCGTAGTGGCACTTGTGCTTCCTCTGTGGGGACTCGAGGTCGGCGCTGCTCCGGCCCCGTCGACCCCTTTGTCTGAGGCCGGGCTCGCCGCTCCCCGCGGGCGCCTGCTCCCGCTCGGGCTCGCTCCATGCGGGGCTGGGGGGCGCGGCCGCGGCCCCCTCTCTGCGCTCCGCCGCGGCGGGTGCCCGCGCCTGTTGGTTGAGGTCCGCTAGGATCCGCGCCACCACGAACAGCGAGGCGCTGTCCTTGCCGTCGCGGCGCTCGTCGGCGCGGGGCATCGCGGGGGCCGCGGCGGCGGCGGCCGCACCTTCGGGCCAGGGCTCCGGCACCTCCCGCGGCCCGTGCACGACCGCGCGGCTGGACATGGACACGAGGCACTCGGCGGCAAAGTGGTCCACATAGGCGGCGGCTGCCATGCTGCGGGCTCCAGTGCTGGTCGCTGCGAGTCATCAGCCGCGCATCCGCACCCACGGCCTCCGGAGAGCGGGCGGGGGGCGGGGGCGGGGGCGCGGCGCGCCCTCTCCTCGGCTGGGCTGGGCTAGGCTGGGCGCGCAGCCGCCTCTGTCCGCCGTCACCCGCGCGGCTCTGCGTCCGCCCGGCCGGCCACCGAGGCGTGAGCGCAAGGGGGCGCGGGCCAGGGGGCTCCGCGCGGCCTCGGGGGCGGCCTGTCCTAAGGATGCCGAGCGGCGAAGTCAGGGACGCCCGCGTCAAGCCACGGCCGCAGTCTCGCCGCGCACTGTGGCAGGCGGGACAGCCGCCGTGCGCTCCACGGCTCAGTGTGGGCGTCCCGGCTGGACATTTGATTTGTTTCCATATCTTAGCTATTGTGAACTGAGCTGCAATGAACATGGGGGTACAGATAACTCTTTCATATTCTGGTTTCTTTTTGTTGGGTAAATTCCCAGAAGTGGGATGTCTGGGTCATATAGTAGGTCTATATTCAGATTTCTGAGATATCTCCATACTGTCTTCCATAATGGATTTACCAATTTACATTCTCACCAACAGTGGACCAAGGTACCTTTTTCTCCATATCCTCACCAGCATTTGTCATTTGTTGATTTCTGTATGACAGCCATTCTAACTGGTGTGATGTGAAACCTCTTTGTGGTTTTGATTTGCATTTCCCTAATGGCTAATAATCCTGAGCATGTTTTCAAGTGTCTGTTGGCCATTTGAATTTTCTCTCTTGAAAAATGCTTGCTAAGTCTTTTGCCTATTTCTTAACTGGATTCTTTTTGTTGTTGTTGTTGAATTTCTTACACTCTTTACAGAGCATAGGTATTAACACTTTCCCTTATCAGTTGCATAGTTATCAAATATTTTCTCCAATTCTGTCAGTTGCCTCTTCACATTGCTGAGTGTTACTTTTGCAATGTGAAGCTTCTCAGCTTGAAGTAACCCCGTTTTCAATTTTGCTTTTGTTTGCCTGTACTTCCGGGGTCTTTTCCAAAATGTCTTTGCCTATGTTAATGTCTTGCAAAGTTTATCCAAATTTTTTCTATAATAATCTGATGGTATTGGGTCATAGATTTATGTCTTTGATCCATTTTGAGAGGATTTTTGTGTAAGGTGTAAGGTAGGGTCCTAGTTTCATTCTTATGCATGTGGAGATCTAGTTTTATTAGCACCATTTGATGAAGACTGTCCTTGTTTCAGGGATTGATTTTAGCTCCTTTGTCAAAAATAAGTAGGTTGTAGATGCATAGATTAATCTGGAGTTTCTATCTTGTTCCACTGGTCTACACACACACACACACACACACACACATATATATATATATATATATTTGCCAGTACCAGGTTGTTTTGATTATAACCATCCTGTAGTATGTCTTGAAATCTGATTTCATGATGCCTCCAGCTTTGGTTTTATTTATAAGATTGATTTAGCTATTCAGGGTCTGTAGTGTTCCATATGACTTTAGCATTGTTTTTTCTAGATCAGAGAGGAATGTCTTGGTATTTTGATTGGGATCACACTGAATCTGTAAATCGCTTTTGGTAGAATGGACATTCTGATGATATTGATTCTTCCAATCCATGAACATGGAAGATATTTCCATATTTTGTGTCTTCTATTTTTCTATGTTTTTAATTTTTTCATGATAGAATTGCTAAGCTCCTTGGTTAAATTTAATCCAAGGCATTTAAATATTTTTGTAAATATTGTGAATGGGAATGATCTTTTTTAAAAGATTTATTTATTTATTTGAAAGTCAGAGCTACACCGAGAGAAGGAGAGGCAAAGAGAGAGAGATAAAGGTCCTCCAGAACCTGCAGGAGAGGTGGGCAGAGCATTACACACTCCAATGGCTCCCACAGAAGTTGTGGAAGGGATCAGGTTACCATCATATTTCTATTGGCATCAGCCACAAACTGGATACTCTGCTTGCACTGAGCAGTCAGGAGCTATTCAGGATACTCTCTGAGGACTAACTTACACTCTGGGTTGATCCCCATGAAGTGTTCTACAGAGTCAGACAGTACAGCCCCATCAGAGTACTGTAGGAAGTCTAGCCAGCAGGCAACCCCAGTCAAAACAGCACCAAAGTGCAAATGGTAGGCAGAAGAATCAGCTCAAAGGAGGGTTCTTGGGGCCGGTGCTGTGGGGTAGTGGGTAAAGCTGCTGCCTGTAGTGAGGCATCCCATATGGGTGCTGGTTCAAGTCCCAGTTGCTTTACTTCTGATCCAGCTCTCTGGGCCTGGGAAAGCAGTGGAAGAAAGCCTAAGACTGTGGGCCCCTGCACCCACATGGGAGACCCAGAAGAAGTTCCTGGCTCCTGGCTTCGGATTGGCCCAGCTTCAGCTGTTGTGCCCAATTGAGGAGCGAACCAGCAGATGGAAGACCTCTCTCTCTCTCTGCCTCTCCTCTCTCTGTGTAAATCTTTCAAATAAATAAATAAATCTTAAAAAAGGATGGTTCTCTTGAGTAGAAAAAAACCCTTTCAAAAACTACAATATGATGACTATTAGGTTAAGATAGTCTGGAAAGACATCTTATAATGGATGGACAATTTGACTTTCATTTTGTGTGAGCTCCTCTTGAGGATACATTATGGAACTTAAACCATGTCATAGCTGTGAAGACCTTACACAAGATAGAATGATAAAATAATTTTTAAGTGTCAAAAGCCATGGGTTGTACAGTCCCTTTCAATGACTCGGTAGCCTTTTAGACCAAGTAAATGATCACTTTATTTCCTAGGGAGTGAAGTCCTATGTTTCAGTTTCTCCCAGGCATTATACCTAAAGTTTTAAATCCTTCTCTTTAATGAAAATCAATATTTCAATGACTTGTTCTCTGCATTTAAGCCTTCCAGATAAATTTTCACTATTAATGCTTGAAAATTATCATAATTTTTTGGTAGTTCACTAGGAAAGATAAAAATAGTAGTACTGGAAATTTTTAATATTTAGAATAGTAGTACTGGAAATTTTATGACAAGACTTTTATCTAGCACTTGAATATCTATAAATGTACATAAAGACAAACTAGTAAGCATGACCTAGGGAAATGGTCAGCTTTTGTATGCTGTTTTTTTGGCCTTTAAAGTAGCAAGTGACCAGAATCTTCCATGTCAGCAGGCTTTAAAAAAAGGCTCTTGAGAAGACACGAGGCACCAGCCAGCTTTCTGTACATTTCTTAGTTTGTAGTTTTCTAAGACTGAGTAAACAATTTAATTTTAGAAAGTAGAGGTCTGGTTTGTAACTCTCCCTGGACTTAATTATGTAAAAGTCTTTTCCAAAAACTACTATCTATTTCATTAACTTTGTTAGTCATGTTTTATTGGGTAAATTAAGAACCAGTGTAAGTTTGCACAGATTGCTGCAAAGTTGTACAGATTTCTATATTTTGGATTTTGGATGAGGAATTTTTCTTCTCTATAGTAAATAGTTTCTTATCTTGGCATTGAAAACAAATGCTTTAGAAAGTGTCAGGAAATACATGACTCTATATGTGTTTTGAGTATTTCATTTTCTTTTTTTAAAGATTTATTTTTTATTTCTTTGAAAGACAGAGTTAGAGAGAGAGGTAGAGACAGAGAGAGAGCGAGGTCTTCCATCCACTGGTTCACTCCCCACATGGACGCAATGGCCGGAGCTGTTGCACCAATCCAAGCCAGGAGCCAGGAACTTCTTCCTAGTCTCCCACTTGGGTGCAGGGGCCCAAGGACTTGGGCCATCTTCTACTGCTATCCCAGGCCATAGCAGAGAGCTGGATCAGAAGTGGAGCAGCCAGGGCTTGAACCAGCACCCATATGGGATGCTGGCACTTCAGGCCAGGGTGTTAACCCACAGCACCACAGCGCCATCCCTGCTTGTAAAACAGGAGCACTGTCACAGCTCAGTCAACAGGAAGGCATAATTCTGCAGCTTTGCCTGAACTCCATCTTTACTGTATATCTGCTCATGGGTTTTATTTTGGGGGGTTATTTTTTCAGCTCACTGTGAGGGAACATAATGATATTGCCTTGTTTTGTAACAGGACAATAAAGGAGTCCCAGGATTTCTTTGGACCTGCGAAACTTTGGGTCCTTTCTATGCACTATGAGGGCTTCTTTGCCAGAACCATTACAAAATGTAACTCTGCTGTACTAAAGATTATCTTTAAGGTGAAAGGAGCAAAGTTAACATGCTCGCAGATGGGTGCCATACTCCTCCCTCTTTTTTTTTAAGTGTAGTATTAAGGTCCTGCATGGGAAGTTAATACACAGTGACTCCTATTGTTAATTTAACAACTAACACTCTTATGTGTGATATCTGTGATCACCTGAAGCTCTTGACATGAGCTGCCTAGGTTGTGGAAGCCTTCTGAATCCACAGACTCTGTCAGTATTCAGACAAGGCCATAAACAAAGTGAAAGTCCTCTCCTCCCTTTGGAGAAAAGTACACCCTTCTTTGATGACCATTTTTTCCACTGGGATTTCACCTAGAGAAGTTCTCCATGCAGGGACACATTTTCCCTCAAGTGTCCTGGATTTTCACACCTGAAATACTCTTGTGAGCCTTTCCCCAGACTAGAACACCTTTAAGGCTAATTCTGAGGTCACTGAGTGCTACTTAAAGTGATTGCCACTCTATGAGTCTGCTGCAAGAACTGCTTTCCATGTCAGAGCATTCACTCCTCTATAATTTTATTAATTTTGTTGATATGATCACTGTAACAATTAGTCCTATCTATATAACGGCTTTAAAAAATCCTATCTAATATGGTCATTTCAAAACAATCTAATTTGCATAATCACATTAAAGCTTAACACACCACTTTCACCATCTAGCCCAAAGGGATTTGAGATCCCATGGTGAAAGAATTTAGTAGTAAAGTTACAATTTAAGCTCTCATTTTGGTCATGCTATTATGTAAAAATGTTAGCCACTCCTTTCATAATATCTGAAAATCAGTCTGTGCAT